ATTATTCTAGTAATTATCAAGCACTTACATTAATTTTCCGGGATACTTTTTTGGTACGCATTTATACCGACTAGCAGAACCGGTATCTGCACTTTTCTTCCGAAAAGCGACTTTCAGCATTCTTAATCACTTACCATAATTATAAGAGCCTCATAATAATTATTAGGGTCAATTATGGAATCATTTCCTAATTTTGCATAATTAATTAATTAAAATTCCTTAATTAACGGTGCAGGTTCTTACATTCACCCTACCTTTTTAGGATTTTGACCTCAAAATCAGAAACATACCTGGTCGAAACTTGGGGTACTGCCGGAGAAGCTCGTCCTCACGCTCCTATGTACACTCCTCAGGAGTTCTTCTGGTCCACTGCACCTTGACCATTGGAGTGATCTTGCTCCTCAGCTGCTTCTCGCCACGATCGAGAATTCTGAGTGATCCGAAGGGAGTTTTCAGGTTCTCCCGAACCTCCACATCATCCGGTTGCACCACGTGCGAAGGATCTGTTGTGTACTTCCGAAGCTGAGACACGTGAAACACGTCGTGGATGTTAGCCAGGTTCGGAGGCATGGCAAGCCGGTAGGCAACAGGTCCTACTCTACCAAGGATCTGGTATGGCCCAATATATCGCGGGCTCAGCTTCCTCACTCCGAGTGCCCGACCAACACCGGTGACAGGTGAAAGTCTCACAAACACGTGCTCGCCCTCACTGAACTCCAGCGGACGATGCTTGACATCATAGTAGCTCTTCTGGCGATTTTGCGCCTGCTTCAACTTTTCACGGATCATCTGGATCTGCAAGGTGGTATATTGGACAAAGTCCAAGCCAAAAAGCTCCTTGTCCCCAACCTCAGACCAACAAGTAGGAGTCCGACACCTCCTACCATTCAGTGCTTCATAGGGCGTCATGCCCAGGCTAGCATGAAAGCTGTTGTTGTAAGAAAACTCAACCAACGGAAGGTACCTATCCCATGCCGAGCTTTGCTCTAACGTGCAAGCTCGCAACATGTCCTCCAAGGTCTGGATGGTCCTCTCAGTCTGTCCATTAGTCTGAGGGTGATAGGCGGTACTAAATCTCAACTATGTACCAAAAGCCTCCTGCAGCGCCTCCCATAACCGAGATGTGAACTTCGGGTCCCTATCACTAATGATACTCTCGGGCACCCCGTGAAGCGTCACAATCTCGCGAACATAAAGCTTGGCCAACTGCTCTGTAGTGAAGCTCACCTTCACTGGAAGAAAATGGGCAGACTTCGTCAGTCTGTCCACAATGACACAAATAGAGTCACAACCCGCCTGAGTCTTCGGCAATCCCACCACGAAGTCCATGGAAATACCTTCTCACTTCCACTGTGGTACTTCAAGAGGTTGAAGTTCACCAGACAGTCTCTGATGTTCAATCTTCACCTTCTGACAAACCAAACACTTGGACACAAATATAGCAATATCTTTCTTCATGCCCGGCCACCAGAAGTTCTTCTTCAGGTATTGATACATCTTAGTAGCACCAGGGTGGATAGAAAACTGACCCTTATAGCCCTCTGCCATAACCTCATCTGTCAATGGACCTCGAGGAACTACAATTCTCTACTGAAACAAAAGCAATCCATCATTGCCATTACAATTAAATATCGAACTAATCAAAATCAAAATACTGGGATCTTCAGGCAAATTCCTATCATTAATGTATTTTTTAATTATATTATTTGTAAAAATTTATACACTAACATGCACTTTTCACTTAATCCACAAATCATTAGATAATGTGGTGATCTCAATATAATCAATTTTTTTAATATTAAATTACTTATTAGAGAATATATATATATGTGTGTGTGTGAGAGACTGATGTCGAATTAAAAATTGATATCTCATCTGAACTGATAATTTTTATCAATGTAATAATTGTAATTTATTGAATTGTATCAATTAATTAATTATTAATTCTAAAAAAAATTGTATCAATTTTTCTTTTTTGACAAAAATCAAAGATTGAGATGGTGTGTTAAATATTTTTATTTAATATAATATCAAATGATTATGTTTCCCCATATATATATATGTATATATAATCAATTTAATTATAATTCAACTACATACAAACCAACAAATTATAAATCAGTGTTTTCACCAATTCCATAACCAACCCAATTTTTAAAACTACGAGCCCAACCAATAATACTGTTTAGTGGATTGACAAAATCCTTTTACTTAATTCTATTTATAATAAACTCACATTTTTTTATTACAATTTTTTTCCAAAATTGTATTCGTATTTCGTGTCAGAGTAAGACATTACCGTTTACTTTCTCTTTCAAAAATTTTGGATAACTATTGGTATAGACTATGTCGCACCGACATCGACATGAGACACGGGATACGATATGACACGATATTTTGACACGTTAATTTTAAAAATATTAAATTTCGACACGTTAGGACATGTTTTGATATTATATAATATTTTTAATTTATGTAGTGTATATTATATTTAGTATTCAATAATTTAACAAAAAAATAAAGCTAAACTTATAATACCCGTCAATTTTACAAAGAAACATAAGATATTCCAAATGTTTATATTAAACTTAATAAAATCGTAATCGTAATCTAACGAATCTAATAGTTGTAACTCAAAATGCAATGCAACGTAACATTTGAACTTTTTTTGAGTTTTTGCAACGAGTATTGGATTGTCGGAAAGTAGGTGTGTTCATCAACTGATCCAAACCGATTCGAACTGCGGTGACCGAACCGAAAAACCGATAACCAAATAAATCGAAAACTGAAAAAAACCGCAAATTTTAATTGGATTGGATCAGTTTTTGGATGGGTTGATGAAAATCAATCCAATATAGTAATTCTCCTCTACCTACTTGGATCTTTCCCTAATCATAGCCTAAAAATTTCTAAACCCAAGATCCATTAACTCATCAACTAAACCCAATAAAAATCTACTCACATCTCATCAACAAAATTTTATCTTTATAGAGCTTCATATCTCATTTCCAAAAATAAAAAAAACTATATTATAGTTTACTAATGCTTTTGTATTTCAAAAAAAATAATATTACAAAGCCAATATATACAAAAGATGTTATTTGCATAATAATCATAAAATAAATTATAGGATTTTCAAAAAACTGAAAACCGATCCAATCCAAACCGAAAAAAATTGGATTTGATCGAATCAGATTTGAAAAAAAATCCAAACCAAATGGATGATTATATGATCAAACCGAAGGGATTGGATCAGATGATTTTTACTTCCAAAACTGATCTAATCCAGACCGCAAATACCCCTATCAAAAAGTGTTGGAATGTCGATAAATATAAAAAAATGTCAGACATAACACATCAAATTTTTTGAAATGTCGATGTTTTATAAGTTACAGAGTGCAAGATTTATGCATTTTGTTAGTAGATGCGTCCTTAATTTACTTTTGTTTTTAGCCGGGCCTAAGCATGTTAAAATAGTACCATGTACCAACAGTCACTGACATGGACATGATGCTGAAATAATGGGGAAAATTTATTGGAGATCCAGAATTGAAAAGTTTGATTCCGGGATTCAGTAAAAGGTTAGTTGGGCTGAGATAATATAATCAAATAGATAAACAAACGATTCGATTCAAAAGTTTAATTATTATGCGAGGGGATTTTTTTAAGAAATTATATTATTCTTTAATATATTATCTCACATGAAAATTTATTTAATTTAAAAAATGGATAATATATAAATTCACCTATTTATATTAAAAATCTTCACAAGATTTAATTATTTATTAATCAAATGAGGACGGTGTCAGTAATATCGAGACTTTGATATCATATAAAAAACTAATTCAACTAAAAAATTTAAACGGTTAGGTAAGGGCATTTTTTTAATGCGTTATACTATTCTCTAACAAAATCAAATATATAATTTGGTTGCTTAAATGTTTTATAAATTAGTTTTAAAACTTTTTTCTTTAAAATTTAATTTGTGAAATTATCACATTAATATATGCTATAATGAGCATGCCCCATGTGTAAACTTTGGCTAAAAGCCTAAAACCGAAGATGTGTACTTTATCATATGGATCTTACCCTAGTTTGTTATATTCGATCCCCACATTGATTAGGGAGACTTTAAAATAAATAAAAAAACTAAACTGATCATCCGCATTTTGAGTCTCTTGCTTTATCTTAGAAACATAATGCTTCATTAGTGACATTGAATTGGGGCATGCGAAAGGCAATATATGTCATTCTCATTCATTCAGGTTTTTCTTTATTAGCTATTTCGCTTATTACGCCCAAAATACATCATAATTTATTCAAAATCATGATTGGCTTGGGGGAAAAAAAAGTGATACACAGTTATTAGAATTAGATAACATTTTACATGCATTTTCTATTTTGATTTTGGAGTCACGGGGTATTTAATACCAACTCGCACACATCTTAATCAGAAGCATGCCAACATTAAGCATTAAGGTAACAATCAAGAAAGGTCTCAAAATCAAATTAAAAAAGTTTCACATAAACACATTATTAACTTAACTTTCTTATATTTAAAAGGACAAATAAAATACATAATTCAACGCTTTAATGTTAAACTAAAACTTTCCCACAAAAATAGACCTGTGCTTTGGATGTCTAGCCAATCTGGTTCTGCCATAGCAAGATCATCTCAAGCAACTCTGAACACAGTGGACCAACAATATCCCGTTTTCCCAAATTTAATATATTTCAATGAGAGACAAAAGAGGAAGAGAGAGAGAAGCATAGAATGCAACAACACTAATAAAGAGAGAGTAGCAAGTAGCAAGTAGCAAGAAAAGAAAACTAGGCAAAGTTGTTGAGGAAATAAACTGATTCCACAGTCTTCATTTGAAGAAAGCTGAAAAAACTCTCTTAGCAGCTTTAGCTTTATGACTTTGCCTCTCTTCAACAATGCCTGTCTTTATTGCCTTTTAAGCACCACAGAGTAACTTCTTCACAAATAACTCTCATCCATGGAGTTTGACCTTGAAAACCCTTTAGAAAACTTCCACGACTTTCATTGTGATGCTGTCTCTTCCCTCTTCCTCATTGAATCTGACCACATCCCTTCTCAAAATTACTTTCTGACTCTCAAAGCCAGAGATATTGACATCTTTGTTAGAAGAGAAGTCATTTCCTTAATCTCACAGGTAAGTCTCAAGCCCAATTCTGTTCCTTTTTCGAGAAAGAGAATATTGATTATTGTTTGAAAAAACATTATATTTCTCAACATTATCTCAATGTAGATTGGTTGTTTTGTTCAGTTGTCCTGCACTTTGGATCCAGTTTTGTCTTACCTTGCTATCAACTATCTTGACCGGTTCATGGCAAACCAAGGGATATTGGTAAAGAAACCAAATTCGCTATTCATTTGCACATGATCTATTTGTTTTGTTCGTTGTTCTTCTCATTCATGAGATTGGTTTTTTGTCTTTTTTCTTTTTTTCAATCAAATAATTGCATTTGCCTTGTTTGTTTTTAATGAATACATTAAATCATATTCTTCTTATATGTATGAGAAGATTGACTATATAGAATAGTATCAAATGGATTCTATTCTCTTAAGATCTAACTCAAATTTGGTTTATATAACAGCAACCGAAGCCATGGGCTCTCAGGCTTCTTGCAATCTCTTGCTTTTCTCTAGCTGCCAAGATGATGAGAACAGAGTTCTCTGCCACTGATATTCAGGTAAAAAACGCTATGCATTCTATGTAATGTGCTTGAAAAAGCAAAAGGTTTTAGTTTATGAGGGATTTGTATTCATTTAAGCTTGTGTTAATAGGCTCTTTTGAAACAAAGTGATGGTGGCATCATATTTGAGACACAATCCATACAAAGAATGGAAGCACTTATCTTGGGAGCTCTACAATGGAGAATGCGGTCAATCACCCCCTTCTCTTTCATAACTTTCTTCATTACTTTGTCAAGGCTTAAGGACCCACCAATGGGGCAGGTTCTGAAAGACCGAGCAGCTGAAATCATATTCAAGTCACAAAGAGGTATGTTGTATGATTAATATTTAACTGTATGTTAAATATGAGTTCATTGGGATTACTAATCTTTAATTCTGGTTTAATAGTCATTTGTTTTTTTGTTTTTGTTTTTTATGCAGAGATAAAGCTTTTGGAATTCAAGCCATCTGTAATTGCTGCATCGGCACTTCTGTGTGCATGTCATGAGTTGTTTCCTTTTCAATATCCATGCTTCTTAAGAGAAATATCGGAATGTTCATATGTAAATAAAGTACTAATTCTTCCTTCTTTTATTATTATTATTATTATTAGTATTATTATGCTGATGATGTTGCATTATTGGGGTGAAAAATAAGTGGCAAAACTTGTTTTAATATTGAGTGAATAATAGATTGTATGACAATTTTATTGCAGGAAAGCATGGTGCAGTGCTATAATGTGCTACAATATATAACCATCGAGGAGTACGAGTCTGTGTTCAATGGGGTTTCAAGTTCAGACACACCGGATAATGTGTTGGACCATCATTTTCTGAGTTCAGAGAGTGAAAAAACCAACGGAATCACGGTTAATACTCTTCCACTGAGACAAGAGAAGGACCTCAAAAGAAGGAAAATCACTGGTTAGGGTAACAATCCAACGATCCGGATTTCTCGGATTATATATAATGCTGAAGTACTACCGAAGAAACTCAGAAAATTTTCTAATCCGCTGACCATTTGGAAGCGACTATGTCATTAGTCATATCATCTTGATCTAAAAAAAAAAAAATTTGAACATTGAAAATTGGTGGATATAGGTCACGGACAAAATCACTGTAACGTGATCCTGGTACGACTTTCGTTACATCTTTTGGTTGAGAACAGGAGCAGGCCATGGAAAGATAAGATGCGGGAATTTTTGTTTTTTAGACACACAAAAATAGAGACAAAACATGACTTTGAATTGTAGTATTGAATTTTGTGTGTCTGTTTTGTGGTTTAAGTGAGATTGTGTCTCTCAGCTTCGGGCAAAGAATTAATAAATGTAACGTTGTAACGGTGAAGCAACAACTTTCTTGGGAAATAAAATTTAGTATTTTTATATGAGCACGCAATATATTATATACAATATTTTTGTTCCTTCTTTCTTAAGTGAGATCAGGTCAGCGCAAAGCAATAAGTGCGAATCTCGCCGCATGAGCCTCCATGTTTTGTCGTTTACTTTTTTCATTCGTGTGTTAGTTGTTGAGGGGATGTTTGATAGAAAAGAAATTTTGTAGTGTGTGACAATATTATCAAGAATATGATAGCAAAGTGAAATATGTGGGAATGTTATAAAAATACTGCTTGGTATGTAAAAATATTACTGGAATTTTTTGATTAAGTTTACTGAATCTTTGTTTAGTTGATTGTGAAATATTAGTGGGAATGTAATCTTATTTTACAAAAATAATCCCACCTTCACTTTATTTTTTTAAAAATGATAATCAACTTTTCCTTGCTTTCACAGAGAAACGGATTGAATATGATCCACTTCTCTTCTCTTATCTGGATTCATCTTCCAAGTTGCAGGCAACTCTCTTTCTTTGTTCTTTTTCTTTCTAGGTTGATCTGTGCATTTTGTGATTGCACAAGCTACTTCACTTGCTTCTCCTACCTAGTACCTACTAACCGATCTTACTATTTTCCAAGCTTCCAGTTCTAATTACTACTTGCTATGTTAAATACGAGACAAACCAATTCTACTATTCTACATTTTTTGGTGGCTGGATTCAATTTATTTTATGCCCCCTCCTCTACATCCATCTATGTTTAATGTTGTTGCCTTATATTCACTACCTCTCGTGCGTACAGATGGGTTCTGCAGAGAAGAAGATGGACCTTCATTTTGATGAGGAGATTCCCTTCAGCTCTTCACCATCTACGTCTAAAGTCCATACTTTGAATTTTGTGAGAACAGTTGTCCGAAAAATTTTGTCCGAAATGAATACAATGTTCTGAAGAGGAAGGGCACATTTGCTCGAAAAATTTTGTGTCCAAATACCTATATTCGGTAAACGAAAAATACCACCACTTTGGTGGTATTTTGAGAAGGGAAAATGACTCACAATTTGTACATAACATGAAATCCAGGGAAAATAGATGGTAGGGCAAATATTGTGAAAACTCCTACCAAGCATGGGTATATATAAATCCCACTTTCACTTTCATATCATTCTAAAAAAGTTACTCCTACCAAATAGCCCCTAAGCGTTTTTTTTATTCGATTTTTCACATTGGTAGCAACTCATATAGATCATGTTAATATTTTTCGTAGCGTAAAGTGTAAACCTTTTTTGTTATCGACACCAAATTACTTCACTTAAAAATAAATTAGAGATCTTTCAGTTCTTGAACACATCTATGTGCTCTTCAATTTTTGATTCACTAATTACTATAGATTCTTGAGGGTTTTAACATCTTTAATGGCTATCTTTTTAGCTCCAAAAGGACTTATTGTGTTACTATTAGGTATCAAACTAACTGAGAAAGAAAATGACGAAAGACTTTGTTATATAGATAAGAAAAAAATGCATGCTACATTAGCATCCTAATTTATGCATAGGGTTACTACAACACCAAGCTACGTACAACGCTTCTAACAAATCCCTTATTTCGCGCATAGTTCTAAGGGAACACTGACCAAAATGCCACTGTTCACCAACTTTTTTACCTAAATGTCACGCGAACAGTATTATTTCTCAATCTGCCACGGGGGCAAGTTCGCTACCCGATGTAGCGAACTCGGTTTAATGACGTGTCACATTTCTAGTGAATAACAAGTACCAAGTTAAAAAAAAAAGTTTGAAGTTCGCTACATTGGGTAGCGAACTTGGTTAAAACCAAGTTCCCTACCCCGTGTAGCGAACTTGGTGTCCACTAGAAACGTGACACGTCAGCAAACTGAGTTCGCTACACCGGGTAGCGAACTTGCCCCCGTGGCAGATTGGGAAATAACACTGTTCGCGTGGCATTTAGATAAAAAAGTTGGTGAACGGTGGCATTTTGGTCACTGTTCCTAGTTCCAACCAACTCTCCTCACACCTTTATTCACATTAAACATGTGCACACAATCAACCTAAGCTACATCTACCCTAAGAATCCCTTGAGTCTCACAGAGTGATGCCTCTCACGTGTCGAAGCCCTTCTCGTAACACTCCCTTCCACTTCAGAAAATACCTTGTCCCCAAGATCCAAGGATAGATAACATGACGCATGTGTTCCTCCACCTCCCAAGTAGCGTCCTCAGGAACTGAGTGAGTCCGCTAAACCAAATATTGGCGCTAAGGAACCCCTTTTACAGAAACTATACAACCTGACAATACTGCCAAAGAAACTTGCACATGTCTATTCTCCATAGTTGACGCAGGAATGGGTATAGGTTGAGCATCAAGATTTCCTCAAAATAGCTTAAGCAAAGAAGCATAAAATGTTGGATGAATTACAATTAGGAGGCAGCTGCAAACAATAACCCATACTTCCCACTTTTTTCTCAATAGGGTAAGGCCCAAAAAAGTGTTTGGCAAGCTTATAGCTAGCACATTTTTCCACTGAAACCTACTTATAAGGTTGAAAATTCACCCACACCAACTCTCCCATCTCAAACGAACGATCTTTTCGGTGTCTATCACTCTGCATCTTCATTCAATTGCAAGCTTGCAGCAAATGAGACTTCAACCGCGAAAGGATCTCATCTCGTTGCACCAACAATGACTCAATTGCTTCAACTTTTATCAATCCCCTGGGACAAGGAGGAAATTGTAGTGGTGGTTTACCAAAAATTGCAGTGTAGGAAGTCATACCAATACTCGAATGTACACTCAAATTGTAATGGAACTGAGCCCGCCCTAGGAAATCAGACTAGTATTATGGCTTCTCATGGAAAAAAGGAATACACATATTGTTCAAGATAACAATTGGTCACCTCAATTTGCCCATTAGATTGTGGATGGTATGCAGAGCTAGTGTGCAATGAAGTTCCACTCAGCTTGAACAACTGAGACCATAACAGGCTCACGAATAACGGGTCACAATCAGTAACAATTGAATATGGAAAGCCATGAGTGTAAACCACCAACTCATAAAAAAGCCTATCCACCACCACAAATGTGAAAGAACGAGGCAACCTACCAAAATCGACAAATTTAGAAAGCCTATCAATGATAGTTGAGTATCCTCTAGACAATGGTAACCCAACAACGAAGTCCATGGAGAGATCCTTAAACACTCCATCTGGCATAGACAATGGTTGCAGCAACCTACTTGGCTTGGTAGTTTCATAATTCACCCGCTTATGAACCACACATTGAGCCATAAAATTCTTCACATCCTTCCTCATAGAACTCCAATAGAACGTGGCAGACATCCGCAAAAACGTACGCAAAACACCTGCATGCCCCCAACTGGTGTAGCGTGAGATTCATAAATCAACACCAGGATCAAGAAGTGGGACTTAATAAGAATATGTTATTATGGAATAAGATTCCATCCTTCATAGACAACGACTTATCAGCCCCAGGATTAGCATTAAACTTCTAATGGCATTGTAACAAATAAGGATTGTGTGCATTCTATTTTTTAATCTCCACAAGAACACTAAAAATCGATTCTGTAACAACATTCATAGCACAATCCTCATACACCCTTGATAAAGCATCTACGACAACATTACTATTGCCATCTTATACTCAATTGTGAACGAATAACCAAGCAACTTGCAAAGATATTTTTGTTGCTCCGTGGTCTGAATCGTCTGATTCAACAATTCTTTGATCCTCTTATGATATGTTCTTATTATAAATACATACCCAAGCAAATGTTGTCTCCACCGCTTGACAACAGCCGTGATCGCATACAATTCACGAACATATGTTGAGGCATTAGCCATCCTCGTTCCTAACTTCTTAGTAAAAAAACTAGGGGCTTCTCCTACTGCAAAAGCATTGCTCCCACCCCACTATTCAAAGCATCTATTTCTATTACAAATGGAAGATTAAAATTCGATAAGACCAATATTGGAGTCTGAGTTATAGCATCCTTCAAATACTGAAAAGCTTGAGATGCTACTTCTGTCCACCAAAATTGCTCAGATGCTTTCAACAAGTTTGTCAAAGGGGCAGCAAGCATGGCATAATTCTTTACGAAATGCCGAGATAACCCGTAAGACTAAGGAATCCTTGTAACCGTTTCACATTACAAGGCAGGGGCCAGTCCAACATAGCTTGAATCTTCTTTTGATCAGCATGCACTCCCTGGCTTGAACTTATGTGGCCCAAATATTCAATTGATACAGCCCCAAATGAACACTTGGACACCTTCATGAAGAATTTATGCACCTGTAAACATCTCAACGCAATTTCCAGATGTTCAAACTGTTCATCAATGAATTTACTAAACACCAATATATCATCAAATAACACAATTATAAAAGGCGTAAGTGAAGCTTAAACAGATGATTTATCACTGCTTGAAAGGTTGCTGGGGCATTGGTCAAGCCAAATGGCATGAATAGGAACTCATAGTGACATTCATGAGTCCTAAAGGCCGATTTCTGAACATCTTGAGGCAGTACCCGAATATGGTGGTACCCAGCCCTCAAATCAAGCT